TCATTCTTACAGAAATTGTAATATTCTCTTTCATACCAGGTCAATATTCAGCAGAAAAAAAAAGGAATAACTAGAATGGTATTAGTTCATTTGTCTGGGAATATGAAGAAGGGTGAGGTCAGATAAAACTTAACTCACCATGCAGCTGCTGCTGCTAAGTCGCTTCAATCATGCCCGACTCTGTGCGACCCCATAGATGGCAGCCCATCAGGCTCCCCCATCCCTGGGATCCTCCAGGCAAGAACACGAGTGGGTTGCCATTTCCTTCTCCAGTGCATGAAAGTGAAAAGTGAAAGTGAAGTCGCTCAGTCGTGTCTGACTTCGTGACTCCATGGACTGCAGCCTACCAGGCTCCTCCATCCATGGGATTTTCCAGGCAAGTGTACTGGAGTGGGGTGCCATTTCCTTCTCCATAACTCATTATAAGATAAAGAAAATAAGGGCAAAAAGAAAAGGTAATGTGTTCTTAGCTTAAAAAAGGTATTTGAGGTTAAATCTAAATATATGATGAGATTATCATCTCATCACATTTTCTATCATCCAACTAATAGTTACTGTTGAGGAAAGCATTGTTTTGAGCTGAGCAATGTGCTAGCTATATAAAAATGTATAAAATAAAGTACCACACTTTGAAGGTCTCCTAGGGGGGTGCTGATAAGACTTATAAGATGAAAAGAGCTCCATGTAGTAATTAATAGCTAACAGTTGCTTATTAGCACTCACAACTTGAGAACATAGTTTCACATACCATCTTGTAAGTTTAAAAAATATATTTCTAGATTTTGCTCTTCTATTGGGATTTCCATTGGCTTCTCCTCTTGAAGACAGCATTGGGACTTCGCTGGTGACCCAGTGGCTAAGACCCTGAGCTCCCAATGCAGGGGTTTCAGGTTCAATCCCTGGTCGGGAAACTAGATCCCACATGCTGCAACTAAGAGTTTGAATGCTGCAGCTAAAGATCCTGTATGCCACAGCAAAGACCCAGAGCTGCCAAACCAAGAAAAATAAGATATTATTTAAAAAGGAAAAGAGACAGCATTAATTCTGGGATGGTTCTTAGCTTTACTTCAGTTTTCTCATTCTTCCTTATGGTCCTACTCCCTTATCCTTCCAATTTCTTTTATGATCCAATATGTCAACATGACCTCAAACAGATTTTGCCTTCTGAATTTACAAAGTGATTTTGCTTATTTCAATTTTCAAACTTCTAAAATATATGGTTTCTGATGGAAATACTACAAATCTTGAGATTTCTAGGGTAGAACTGGCTTCTAAAATATGTGGTTTCTGATGGAAATCATACAGATCTTGAGATTTCTAGGGTAGAACTGATTGTAGATTTTTTACCTTATCAGATTATGCGACCTGACTTATGGTTAAGAAAATATGTTCATCTTATGGCCTCACTTCTTTTTCACTTATATTTAGTCTGAAACCTTTAACTGACTTCTAACTTTTCTGTTCTATATGTGCTGAATATATGCAGCTATATATATTATGTATTCTGTTATGTATTTTCTTAAGTTAACAGTTTCAAAGGTAACCTTATTGTCAAATCCAGTGTTCTTTTTTCCCCTCCTTCTATTTTGTTTTCCTGACCCTCTCTTCATTTCTGTTCATTGGTCTTTCTTCTTAAAATATCTAGGATCCTGGAGACTAAGGTATTCAGTTCTCTTCCTATAATATCTTATATTTTTGTTTTCTTCTATGAATCCTCTTTTGACTCTCATCAGTCTCATTCATTCACAGTTTAAATGGCTTGCTTTCTTATGGGTTGCATAAAACTCAACATTCAGAAAACTAAGATCATGGCATTGGGTCCCATCACTTTATGGCAAATAGATGGGGAAACAGTGGAAACAGTGACAGACTATATTTTGGGGGGCTCCAATATCACTGCAGATGGTGACTGCAGCCATGAAATTAAAAGATGCTTACTCCTTGGAATAAAAGTTATGACCAACCTAGACAGCATATTAAGAAACAGAGACATTACTTTGCCAAAAAAGGTCCATCTAGTCAAGGCTACGGTTTTTCCAGTGGTCATGTATGCATGTGAGAGTTGGACTATAAAGAAAGCTGAGCACCGAAGGATTGATGCTTTTGAACTGTGGTGTTGGAGAAGACTCTTGAGAGTCCCTTGGACTGTAAGGAGATCCAACCAGTCCATCCTAAAGGAGATCAGTCCTGAATATTCATTGGATAGACTGATACTGAAACTGAAACTCCAATACTTTGGCCACCTGATGTGAAGAACTGACTCACTGGAAAAGCCCCTCATGCTGGGTAAGATTGAGGGCAGGAGGAAAAGGGGACGACAGAGGATAAGATGGTTGAATGGTATCACTGACTCAATGGACATGAGTCTGAGTAAACTCCAGGATTTCGTGATGGACAGGGAGGCCTGGTGTGCTACAATCTGTGTGGTCGCAAAGAGTTGGACACGACTGAGCGACCGAACTGAACTGAACATCTTATTCCTTGCAGGAGTCAGACAGATTTCAGGATTTCCCTTGTGTTTCCACTTTCACCCCTTACTTCTAGGACTCCTTCAGGTTGTGATTACTGCCATCCTCCAAGCCTTAGCTCCACTTATACCCTCCTCCTGAAGCTTGCCTTTACTGTTGTTGTCTAGTCACTAAGTCCTGTTAGATCCTCTTGAGACCCCATGATCTGTAACCTGCTAGGCTCCTCTGTCAATGGGATTTCCCAGGCAAGAATACTGGATTGGGTTACCATTTCCTTCTCCAGGGGATCTTCCCCACCCAGGGACTGGACCCACCTCTCCTGCATTGTAGGCAGATTCTTTATCCCTGAGCCACCTGGGAAGCTTGCCTTGCCCATAGCTACACACACACCTCATAGTGTCAACTATGTGTTCATGTCTCTCTTCCTGGTTACACTGCAAAATCTTTGAGGGTAAGGGCTGGACTTCAGCTTTGTTTATTTGTTTGCTTGCAAGGGGAGGGTGAACACAATACTCAATAAATATTTGTTGACTGAAGAAAGTCACACTCTGTTTCATGGTTTCAATACAACACAACCAATATGTACATCTTTTTTAGATGTGCATATTAATTTTTTTTCCTTTTTCCTTACTGGTCTCTGACCGTAACTGACACTTTTTGTTCTAAAGGTATGCTATGCAGTCTATTTAGAAGTAAAAGATTAAAGGATGTCAAATGCAGGCCTATAGGAGATAAGTGGAAATGGATATTTATGAGGTTGCCACTATCAGCCAGAGACTGTGCTTTGCACTGTAAAGATTTCTTTCAACAGACTCAAGAAACTGAAATCCAGCAAGGTTAATTTAGCCAAAGTCCCATAAAAAATGAATGGTTGTGCTGAGTTTCAGAAATCCAGATTTGCCTGGATGATTGTGAGACTTAAAGTAACACAACTGCTTTCAAAGTCACTAGACAAGAGTTGGCATTCAAAATGTTGCTGTCTGAGGATTGGGTTTGCTTCAACAGTAGGAGAAAAAAGTTGGCTGAATGTATATATATATATACATATATACACACACACACACACACACATTCTGGTTATCATGCAATTCACTTCTCCGCCTGATGTTCTAGTACTATAACATGGCTCACAGGATATAGCTCAGAATATTATCTATAGCCCTTGAGGAAGAATGAAAGGTCCTTGACTATGCCTAATGACTACATTATTATTTAGTCTCCTTTGGCCGTTTTCTTCTGTTTCCGCGTTTCTCACTTCTCTGATTAAACTTATTCTTTGACTAAAGTTTTCCCCAGGCAAAAGAGGACATGGTTTCGGGGGTGGGGGTGGAGGCCAAGGACCATACGGTTCTGCTCCGTTTTAACATCTGATTACAATAATCCTATGCTCTTCTTCATATTGAGGCTAGAAAAAATAAATACCAGCCAATATTTCAAATTATGACTATCCCGCCCTGCTCCCCATCAGGTAGCAATTTATATTTTCAAAAGAGAAAAGGGGATTAGAAAGTTGCCTTCAGCAGACAGAAACCAAAGGAATCCACTAGTTGAATCCTGTAAAAGAATTTATTCTGTGCCTATGATTTTTTTTTTTTTCCGATGAAGAAATGCTTCTAATTCATACAGAACTTTGCAAGGTAAACCGCAGGTCCTGTTTGCAGCTGGGTCTCTAAAGGTCGAAAGAAAGTGGGTTCTCTCTTTCTCTACTCTTGCACGTCTCTCTCGCGGTCTCGTTCAGGTCCCCCAAAGCCTGCCGTACTGCAAAAAAAAAAAAAAACAGTGCAAAGTGGGGCAGCCCAGGCTCACTTTGCCTATCAGCAAAAACTCTTTGAATCCATCGGAGGCGACAAACCACACAAAACGCCCGTCCCAGCTGCTTCGAACCTCAAGGCAGAGAAGTGACCGCAGTTACGCCGCTCGTCTCCCTCATCCGCTCCGCGCACCTGGACGCGGGCGGCGTGAGAGCCCCAGCCGCGACGTCACCGCACCTGGCAGCAGCCCCAGCGCGGCGGTGAGCCGGAACGCAACGGGGGCGGGGCAGGGAGGCCTGGGGATTCTCGCGAGATTTTCCTCCTCACGGCCCAGCTCCCGGCACCTTCCCGTCCTCTGTCCCGGTCTCCACCTCACTCTTTGGCGTCGCGTTCGAGGACGGCGGGCGCCTACGGAGCTGCCAGGGGCGGGCTCCGGGGCTGGGCTGGCGCTCTGCGTCGGAGCCGGCGGCCAGAACGAACCGGCAGGTCCCGCCCCGTGGCAGGAGCGACCGGGGCTGGGAAAACCGCCGGCTGGGCGGGCGGGGGAGGGCCCTCCGGCCGCCGCGAGTGAGGAGCCGCAGCCGCCGCCTGTTCCTTGCGGGCCGTGGGGACCGGACTGGCCGGGGAGCGCCGCGGGCGGATGGAGGCTCCGCGTCCCGCCTGAGCTCAGCCGGGCTAGAGCCGAGCGGAGGGCCCGCCTCCTGCCGCCGGAGCGGCCGCGCGAGCAGCGGGAGGAGGAGGAGCAGCGGGCGCCGGGCTGCTCCCCGCCGGAGCCCCCAGCATGGGTAAGGGACCCGAGTGCGCTCCTCGCCACCCACTCCGACCTTCCGGATTCGGGGAGGAGGATCCCTTTCTCGATCTCGGCGGGGCGGGGGAGGGGGTGGGGGTCGGTCCCTGCGCTGCCACACGGCCCGCTCGCTGTGTCCCCTCCTCGCTCTGCCTTCCACCTGGCTCATCTCGCTGAGAAACTGGTTGCGGGGCCCCAGGGTGCTTTTCCCGTCTGGCGCTTTTCTTTCCACCTCTTTTCCTGGTTTCGGGAAAGGTGAGGGGATGGGGGTGGGGGCGGTCCGATCACTTCGCCCCCAGCCCAGCTCGACTTAGCACCGAACTTCCCTCTTTACCCAGTCCCTTTCGTCCCAGATCCTGCTGGGATGGGGGAAGGATGATCGAAAAACTTGACTGAGTAGCACTTTCAACTTCTGTATCTTCTGCGAACCTTTTTAGAGATTGGCCTTTTAAAGCATTGTTTGTTTGTTGGTTGGAAAAGACATTTTCCACCCCCCACCCCCCCAGCCTGAAACTTTCAAGGGGTATCTCAAGGGCAGGAAAGCTTGAGTATTTGCTCCGTTTCTACCCAGGCAAGTGTGTTGGCACTTAAATATTAAATTTGTTCCTGAGAACTGGATTGGAGTTTAGTAGGATTTCTGCGTTGAACCCTTTGAGAAGCAGTTTCCTGTTTGGAGTTAGACTTCCTCGCTAGAAGGGGAGAAAAGTACAAGGCCTTATATGTTATTTACAGTGTGCTTTAAAGTTTTGTTTGGACCTAGAGAAGGAATGAGTTGCAGACTGGTGAAAGGGAGTTTTGTTGAGTAGTGTAACAATTCTTTTGATAACAAAAGTTCGATGTGGGCTAGGCGCTATCTCCCTCAATCCTTTGAAAGTGAAAAGCAATTTAAAAGAGAACTTGAAAAAAAATCAAACTGTGTCACCATAAGGCACATGCATGCTCTGTAAGAGTAATCCCAGTGTTGGTTCTGTAATCAGAAGGACGCTGTCACTTTTTGCAGTTCAGGAAAGAGTTGGTACTGCTTCATCTCAACAAACTATTAACTGAAATTAATAATTCATGAAACTAACAAATGATTTAGAAGCAGGACAAATACACAGTGCTGCTGATGTGGCACCTACTGCCCACACATTGTTTTGTGGGAAATGCTTTAAGCATGGTGTTTATAGACAGTCGCAGTAGCTCTGCTGTGTTTTCCTAGACTTTATACTTTTATGATCTGTCTCCCTTTTGCTTTCAGGTACCTTTTGTGCACAAAGTGCTCTTAAACTTAGAAACAGTAAAACCTTTGTTACTTGGGACTTTCCAATGAATTTCTTTCTAATTGATTAGTTGAGCTTACTGGGTAATTGAAGGTTTATCCTTTAAGCTTCAAATTATAAAACCACTTTGAATGCAGATCATACTAAAATTAAATGTGTAATTCTTTTCTGTTTTAAATAAGATGCAGAGTATAACTAAATCTTTTGATGACCTAGGGTCATCATTTGTGACCTTGTTACTGTGGTTCCTTGAGGATCTGTTGAAGTGTATATAGGACTCCTGATCAGATTTCTTTGCATTTTGAAGTTAGTAAATATTTTTCGTGCTTTGCTGTTGGATATGCTTGTTATTGTGATCAGTGTCCCCCTTCACCCTCTCATCGCCAGTTTTTCTACACCGTTTTTTTTCCTATGGAAATCAAATTTGTAGTTCTGCAAAGGGAAAAAATGACCCTTATTTAGTGTGTGAGATCTTCTTTTGAGAATAGTGAGTGTCCATCCTTGCACATTGGAGTGTCTGTTTTGGTTGTCCAGAGGCCTTCACTCTGACTTTGCTGTGTTCTGCTTAGGTGAGTTCTGCCATGTTATCTTAGTACAGAGTGATGCTTGCGTACTCTGCTGGACTGCCCAGAATGTATTTTAAAGTATGGTTACTTGGGGGCATGTGCAGTTAATTTTTGAAAGGTATTTGTCAGATATTGTCATATGAATGTATACTTTAAATTTATTGGTCACATATTTCATAATAAAACTATCAAAATCATTTAAGGAGTTTTTTCTTTAATATAAATCTAAGGTGCTTGATTTTGCTGTCATAAGTCTTTACTTCTTACAGCTTAAGATGACAGTTTAAGGGATTCCCTGGTGGTCCAATGGTTAGAGATCTGAGCCTTACTGCCAAGGGCCCTGGTTTCAATCCCTGGTCAGGGAATGAAAATCCCACAAGCCCTGCAGCATGGCCAGGGAAAAAAAAAAAAAGAAAAGATGATACATGGTATTTTATCTAATTTATCACAAAATGAAAAATCTTTAATTTCTTCACTTTGAAATAACTTGGGTACCTATTAAGTGATGGTTCTTGACATTTAGGTGGTACAGCTAGAGTTAAAAGCATGGGCTGTGAACTGGGACAGTTTAAAGTCAAACCCTGGCTCTTCTGTCTACAAGCTGTTGTGATTGAGTTCAGTTTCTTAATCTATAAATGGGATAAAACTATCAACCTCAGGTTATTAGGAAGATTGAATGAGTTAATACTTGTAAAGTGCTTAGAACAGTGCCAGTGTTGTTTGCTGTTATTTTCATTTTCAAATAATGAGATAAAATAAATGAAATGAATAAAATAAATAAATGAAAAAATAAAAATTTTCCAGTAAATTTCCCCAGTTCTTGCACCAACTTGAAAAAATAATGCAAAATGTTTGACCTTTTTTGAAGCGTATTATTATCTTTAAAGACCAGTGGGATGATATGATTTTGTACCAATGCAGAAATAGGTAACTTTCAACATTCGGTATACTGTAAGAAAGTCCAGTGTTGGTAGTAAGGTTAGTAGATTAGGAAAAAGTAAGTGGGATGAGTGCTCATAGAGACTTATTTGAATTTTATCTTAAATGTAAGCACTGTTTTTAGTTTCTGCATTTGGTTAAATGTGGAGGAATGCTTATAAGGAAATTTGAGGTATTCTGTGGGAAAGAATTTGGGGAGAGTGTTAGTGAGATGGAAAGACAGTACTTATATTTCTTATTCCAAAAGTACAGATCTGCATTTTGGAGTGTAATAAGACAGAAAGTAATTGGCACAAAGTGTTACTATATGTAACTTCTTAGTTTTGAAAAAATAAGTCGATTTTAAGGACTCGATTTTTCTTAATGTTAAATAAAGTTATGAACTTTTCACATATGATATATAACAAGTCAACATGTTTAAATTATGAGGCAGTTAATGGATAGAAATACACAGTTGCTTTAGAGATAATATGTGCATTTCTATAATACAGTGATTTATTTCTTTGGCTCAGTGTTTGGTGAAACTCTTGATTCACCCAGATAAGTAAGGGCAACTAGAAATTGCCTGCTAGTGGCTCACCTTTTAATTTCAGGATTTACTTCAATTAAACTAATCCAGAACACGAAAGTGGAATATTAGGGAATTTTGTTTCAAAGTTGAATCATAGTAAATAATCAGTTGTATTCTTTAGTAAGTACTTATAATCAGATTTGTCTTAAGTGCTTCAAATTTGGATAGATATAATTCCATAAAATCACATTTAGGGTGAAAAATACACATTCATAATATATTTTTCCATAAAAACCAGCTTGAAGTTTGCCATGTATCTCTCTAAATGAGGGGTTAGCCAAGTAAAACGATGTCTTATTAACTTAATAAGATGATTTAAATTTTGGGACATTTAAGGTAAGAAAGATAAAACGTGAAGTGCTTTTGGTTCATTCCATATTGTGAATCGAAAATGTCTTCAAATTTTTATTTGTAAGTAATCTAATCTGATTTTTTTTTCCTCCTCTTCTGTGTCATGGAATATCCTCTATGAAATATTTTTTAAGTATGATACCATTTTCTAATGTGTTTTAAAAGTGGTGTCACGTTAGGGTTGAAGGTTGTCACGTTAGGGTTGAAGGGTTAGGTTGAAGATAGGCAAAGAAAGAGGTGTGAAGATTCTTGATTTGGGTGAGACCAGGACAGCTTCAGAAGCTGTAAACTGGTGCAAGTTGTGAAAGATCTGAAAGCTTTTGTGAAAGATTCTGGAAGTTCAGAAAAGAAAGGGGAATAAAACCCAATATGATGTGATTGAAATTTAGGTGAATTGATAATCATTATGATGGATCTGTGACCTCGTTAATTGTAAAATTTGATATCCAGCTATTAGGCAGGTTTACCTCAAGCGGAATTAGTTCTTTCTCAATGGAGAGGCCAGAACACTGGCCTGGGAAATCTGGATGAAGGTCCATGTACACCTATAATTAGCCTCTCAGCATGAGGGATACAGTATAGCAAAAGCTCGTGCACAGACAGGCGGAGTTGGCCAGCTTGGCATGGTGGTGAGCAGCAGGCACCCTGGAGAGGTTCAGACTGGTATCGTGGAAAGGGGAGGAAATGGGTTTTAGCAGTAGGCTTTAGAGACCTAGTAAGGGAGAAACAAAACCAGACAAGGTCCAGATTTCTTATGAGAGATACAAGGTAAGGTATTTGTTCCTGGGAACAAAAGTGAGCTTGGTTATTGGATTGTTTAGGATGACAGGCAGTAATATTGACAAAGTAACTGAACTCTTAAACTGTTGATCTTACTTATTTTCTGCTTGGCACTACATGAGTAGCTGAGTCTGTGTTTGTTCTAAGTTGTCCTGGGTAACTGGGGTGAAAGGAGATTTTCTGTCTCAGTGCTTGAGGATGTTTTTTGCTCACAGTTTAGCACTTCCTCTGTTTACTTGGTCTCAGGGATTTGATACATCTGCTCTTTTTTTTTTTTTTTTTTTGGCTGCTTTTTTCACCTGTTCTCTCCTTTCTCACCCAAGACAAAGCAGATTACAGAATTTCAGCATACCCTTCTGTTTGAGAAACAAGTGCACAATCCTTAACAGTGTTAAATAGTTTTAGCTGCCAAAGATAGAGTAAACCATAAGAAACTTGAAAGTACTAATTGTTTATTCCTGAACAATTTCACTGAAGTGGTATTAGGCTAGTTATTAGAGCGACCTTTTTTGGTTTTGCTTTGTTTTTCAGTAGAGTATATTTGCCCTTTTCAGCCCTGCCTCATATTCCTCCACTCCATATTATCCACAGCTTTCTTTTAGGTTTGCTTATGTTGGATAGATGTTTAGACTAGTTCACAGTCTTTTATCACTACTAGTAAGCGCATAGAATTCCCTTCATAATCCTGCTAAGGCTTCTCTGACCCAAGACTTTCATTTTTCAGTTATAGTCACTTGGTTTTAGTCCCAGGTGAGTTAGGTATTTTCTTTCTAAGGTCTAAATGTTTCTTCTTTTGGACTAAATGACATTACGTCTTTTCTGTTTCTTGGGTTTTGTTTGATAGTTTCTAAGACCTAAGTTGCCTGAATATTCTATTCTTTGATTCTTTTATTTCAACTGAAAGCATGTTTTTTGGTTGTTTGTATTTAAAGGAGCTTATATTCTTATAAGTAACTCTACTGTTTAAGTATTCATTATTCTAAAATGATACCTAGCTTAAAATGTTGATCTAGTGTCAGATATGGCAGTTTTATGGACTCTTTCCTGGAATCTTGTTATACTACATCATTCCTTTCCATTGCCTCCAGTAGACTTGTGTTTTTAATCTTTAAAATTTTGTTTACTTACGCCACTTGCCTTCATGATTTTATTTCTCATCTAAGTTTCCAAGCTGCGATGACTAACATAGGATCCTGAATGCCACATAGCTCTGGTTCTTTTTGATGATCCAGTGTCCAGGTAATTCTTAGGGAGTGACTGTGACATCTAATCACTAGGAGTTCCCAGTGGAAAAGTACTTTAAGTGTGGTAACAGTAACAGTTACCACCAACATTAAGAGAAAGGTTCTGTCCCAAGGTCACATTTTGTCAAAGAAAAGAGCTTTTAGTGAGAGATAAATCCAGAAGTATTTGTCTTAATGTGAGGAATGTGATTAATGGCATGTTCAGTGCTAGGAATATTAGGACACATACATATCTAGTGGTTTACAGCAGTGTTAGAAGTTGGGCGTATTACTGAAATCATTTGGATTTAAAAAATTGCACACGGGAGATTCTGACGTAGATTCTCCCATGTCTCCTTCCCTCCTGTTGTTGATGAGTGTCATCAGTGGGTTGGGATAGCTGAGTGTTGTGATAGGATGAGTGTCATCAGTGGGTTGGGATGGCTGAGTGTTGTGAAAGGAATAAGACTTATAATAATAGGAATAAAACTTAGCTCATGGATTATCAGAAATCCATTTAGAAAGGGAATTTAGTACATTAAGAAAGTATCAGAAATGTCAAAATACAATAGAAGTATAAGGAAGAT